GCGAAATGACGAAATCGAAAATAGTTGTGTAATTATTCAACGACTACGATGACGATAACGAACGACAAATTATAAAATTTAACATTGGACGAAGACGAAAATGCTACAGTACTGCAATAATCGTACTAGTAGTGGGGGTTAGCCGTCGTCGTCAACGAATGCCGCTATGTAACAATACGGAAAATTCAATACTTCTAATAACTATTTAAATAATTAATTTTTTGGACTGTTTTCTTTTGATGGCTCATCTGCACACATAGCACTTGCGCTAAAATAGAAATCATGAAAATCGGTCCAGTAGAACTTCAAATATAAATGTTATAAGAAATCACCTCACGTTATAATGATATAATATGTAAAGATTATGTCTCACCATCCTATGTATGCATGCAGCTGGCCATGGTTATGGCTTCATGAGACCCTGGTAGTAAATGGCGCTCAAATAGACAATCTTCATTGATGGCGCCTCTTGAATCGTTATTTTGTTGTAAGACGGATATGGTAGCTGAACGCGCTATTTTGTTATTGTTGTCTGGTTCTATACTTAGCTGACTGCAGGCTACAGTGACCAGCGTGAAAATTGGCCGTGTTCGTCAAGAGCAAAAATTGTCTTAAAAATAAAATTAAAGGTTTTTAAGTGGATGTCACTCTGCGGTACACTATTTGATAAGTGGGTCACTGTATAATAGCTGGTATTAAATTTGAATTGACCCGGCCCGCGTTAGTAGCAAATACAATGTACAAGCACTATATAGCGACCAGTCTATCTTATCTCCAACCACCACCACGGGATGCAAGCAGCGCGACCGGGTTGACTCTCCCACCGAGCCGGTAACTGCAAGGCGGGACGGGGGGGGGGGGACTGTGTCGCGTAAGACGTACAACGGTCGGCGGAAAAGGCGATTCGAGAATCCACCATCGCACAGTGGTTCAAAAATGAAAATAGTTGGCCAAAAGTCGATATTTGAATTTGAAAATACTCAAAAAAGGATAGCAAAAATATTTTCTGTAATAACCAAAGTAAATAATTATGCAAAACGAAATGCAAAATAATATTAGCAATACCAATAAAATAATAATTGAAGTGGACGAAATATAGTTTTTTTCATAATTATTATGATATTTTGTCACTAATCGTCATATAGTTTAATTTTCAACAACAAATAAAATAAAATAACTTTAAAGTATTTATCAATTTATATACGTTGGATAAGACACTAAGATAGTATTTAATGACTCAATTATGAAATAATGACTGTTATTAACCAGTATGTGGCAATTGAAATGAACAATGTCATAAATAATACGATATAAAGCTATTCACTTTTAAAAACATACAAATCTAACAGTGGCGGATTTAACGGTCGTTTAGTCGGCAAATGCCAACGGGGCCCCCTCCTAAATTGTGCACTGAGGCCCACCTAAATTATAAAGTTGATTTTTTTTAAATTTTAACCAAAAAAAAAATGTATATTTCAAACTGGAATATAATTTATTTACCATTGTTTTAATGATAAAATAGTTTAAATGTATAGGAATACTTCAAAAGTAGAAAATATTGTAATTAAATAAAGTACCTAGAAAAGATCGAAGTAAATACTTATATACCTACGTAAATCTAAATTACGTATTCTACATTCTATACCCACTACCATTGATCACAAATAAGATTATTTATAATTATAAATTAATATATAATATAATTCATGATTGCATGAAAATAAAAACAATAATTTTGTAAGTATAATAACAATCTTTTTATTACTTAATCAGCAGCGTAAATCATGATTTATTGGAAATCGTTTTCGCGATAAATTCGTAATAAATATTGAAAAATGTGGTAAACAGGGCTGTGCACTATGTTTTTCATATTATTATGTTTATACATGTAACGGGTTAGGACATTGTTTCTTACAACTGCTATACAATTGCTATAACTATAAAGTATTGATTGAAATTTAAAATAAGTATTATTATTATTAAATTAAGTATACAATTATAAATAGAGGCAACGAGCAATTGCCTCCACACCACCAATTCACTCTCAAACCTAGCCGACCGGTCCGTCTACCATCACTATTGTTTTTGTGAATTATAATATAAAATGGTAATTTTATCATCGACTTTTGTGTACATAGCAGCTCCTAAAATTTGTGTGTAGTACAAAAAGTGAAGTGTGTAGTACGAAATTTAAAAGTGTATACCTAACTCAAATTAAAGTATTAAACCTTTATAATATTATGAATAATTTTATGGCTTCGCTTTTTAGATTCTGAGTGAAACGATGAATGTATTGATTTTACAATGATGTGTGTTTTTTTTTTTATTTTTTTTTTTATTTTTTTTATTTTTTTTTTTATTTTTTTTTTTATTTTTGTGTCTGTCATCACGTTTTAGGACAGTAAAAGTGCTTGGATTTTCTTCATCAGTAGCTTTTCTGATAGGAAAGTGAATCTAGTTGGTACTTTGGGGGGTCAAAGTATAAATTTCCCAGTAGTTTTCACAAGCGCCGGGAAAAACAACATAAAAATTAAGGAAAAACGGGAATTTTTACGCAAAATTGGTTTTCCAAAAAATCGATTTTGGTTTTTGGTGTAACTCTAAAACAAATGAACGTATATACATGAAATTTTCACTGGTTGTTTATATTTGCATTTTCTATATACGATAACATTTTCAAAATATTTTGATTTATTTTGAACTGTTTAGGGACATTTTCATTTTTCATTTTTTTTTAGTTTTTTTTCTAGAAATATCAATAAAATTTTATTTGTTGGTTGCGAAAGCTTGAAAATTTAATAGAAGGCTCCTAATATGTTGTTTCAAAGGCAGATGAAAAATATTAAAAATCCTTAGTCACAATTTTTTTTTATAAGCACTTAAAGTTCAAAAATTGACAAAATATGGAAAAATCACGAAAATTAGCAAATTATTTTGAGTTAAGAATTCGTAAAAATTTTTCTTTTTAAATCTAAGATTTGAAAATTTAACACAAGATTCCTTATAAGATTATCTACCTTTATCAAAAAAAAAAATGTCTATAAGAAAGTCAAATTAAATTTTTATGAGCGTTTGAAATTCAAATTTTTACAACATTGGATATTCACTCGATTTCTCATGTGGCAATTTCCTTTTTTTGTTGTAATTAAAAAACGAATTACTGTAGATACATGAAAATTTCACTGAATGTTTATATTAGCATTTCCTATACACCATACAATTTTGAAAATATTTTGACTCTTTTTGAGCTGTTTATGGACATTTACAGCTTTCAACTTTTTTTAGTTTTTTTTTCTTTGAATATCAATAAAGTTTTATCTGTTTTGCCAAAAAGTGTAAAAATTTAATACAAGGCTCCTGATATATTGTTACAATATCAGTTGAAAAATATTAAAAATACATAGGCACAATTTTTTTTTATAAGCATTTAAACATCGAATTTTGACAGAATTTTTCAAAATCTCGAAATTTATTAATCGTCATAATTAATAAGTTATAAAATGTTCAGTTTTTATAGCTAAGGATTGAAAATTTAAAACAAGATTCCACGTAAGTAGTTAATTATCTTACCGAAAAATCTAAAAAATATACAATCACAGTTTATTTTTATAGTCATTTTAAATTCAAATTTGGACGAAATTACATATTAAAAAACCTAGAATAACTATTTTAGTTATTTTGTTGTGATTGAATAATATTATTCGTGGGTACTTGAAACTTCTAAAGTGTACTATTATATATCTATGATAGTATCACGGTTTTGTTGATGTATAACGCGTTATAAGTACCTAATGGACATTGTGATATGATTAATTTGGAATTTATTATAGGTACCTATTATAGGTCAATTTTTTGTTTAATACCATAGATATGTATATAATATGTCTTAAACATAGACTGACATACCGTCTCCGCTCAGAATCGTTTTTCTTATACAATGATATTATATCGTTGAATTCAAATTTAATATCATCCATTATACAGTGACCCACTTGTAACCTACTGTACAGCAGAGCGACACCCACTTGCCCACCTTTTTTTTATATAGGTATTCGCATGGTTTTTCGTCAAGCTACATTTTAATTATAATCTACATTCTATACACAGGCATTTTATATACCTACTTTTAATTTTGTTTTATTTGTAAAAATAAATAAAAACTTAATAAATTTTTTTTTTTTTTAACTAGAAGATTTGTTACTATATTATTGATTATTGGTTGATATTATTTCTCGCGAACGAAGAGATCGGTTTTGTGAAATGGGGATAAGTATTTTACTGATATATTTTGTAAGAGGCCCCTCTTATTGATTGGCCGACTTTCTTTGAACCCTTAAATCCGCCACTGAAATCTAATCATGTTTTTCATCAAGTTACACGGCGATATATACACCATCATTTAGACTACGATCTACTGATTACAAAACTATCATTATTAGTTGCTCGTATTTGTGCGTTTCGTTTTAGTGAGCACTTGAAGTTGGACAGGCTTATTTCTGGCTGGAACCCGATTGAGCACAGTTTACCTTTTTCATTACCCAATTGAGCATAGATACAATTAAACAATAGAAATCCAAAATATAACACGATTGAGCATAGAAATAAGTACAATGTTGCCGTTCCACACATCAAAATAAAAATTTAAAAAAATTGAAATATTTACAGGAATTATTTTATAATAATCATCAAGCTATTAATTAGTGTATAAAAATATAAAATGAAATTATTTTACAAATATATACAATATACATAGTTTATGTCCAATACAGATTAGTCTTAAAGTTAATAATAAAATAATAATTACATAATATAATAAACAATATTAAAGTTCATTTGTTTTATAAATATATAATATAATTCATATCCTATACAGATTAGTCTTAAAGTTAATTTATATATTTGATTTGAATATTTGTATTATGTGTCAACGTTTTAAAGTGGTATCCCTAAATACTTGTTTCCCACTTTTAATAAATATTTTAGTAAATCTTTAGAACATTTATTTCTTAAATATTCATCGTAAGCCATTATAGTTGCATTAATTTTTTGCATTTCAATAAAACTCATACTTTTATAACTGTCGGTTTCAATTGACCGAATTTTTGTCATCGTTTCAGCTTGCGTTTCTTGTAAAACCATAATTACCAAGTGTATGTGTGGGTGAGACTTATAAAATTGTGAATTGTAAGTTCTATGAAAACTTTCAACAGCGTTGGTTGTCCTAAAAAAAAACATTTCATAGAAATTAAATTAAAATTTTTTTTATATTTAATATAATTAGATTTTGGATGATCTACCTTGGATCAAACATAGGTTCTTTAGCCCATATATTTGGGGGAAATGGAGATTCATCATCTATATAATTATTGAAAACATAATCTCTAAATTCTGAGCAGACTTTATCATTTGGGCAGACACTCATGAGTTCGACGAATGCATCGGCTACTTCATGATTAGGTAAAAAAGCTAACCCAAAAAAACTCTTAAGCCAATTTCCTAGTTCGTCGTTTTCTTTTTTATAGGCTATTCTGAGAATAGAATCGCTGTTTATCTATAATAATAATTAAGAATACAATTAATGTATAATTCTTTGATTTGAAATTATTTTGAACTTACTTTTCGCCACCATGATTGTCCTAAATGAAATCGACAAGCTATTAATTGTACATTTTCAAAAACTTCATACGCGGCTTGGTGGGCTGCCTTTTCAAAGTCAACGTGTAATTTTTTTAATATGAACTGACTTCCTGTATATTCAACACATAAGTTTTGTAGGAATATCCACATTTTTTTATATGTATCTTTTGATTTTTAAAATAAAAAAAAATAAACCAACGGCAAATAATAGCCATTTTTATATCCATGAATAGTATATAGTTGTTCAAAATATTTGGGTGCGTAATTAAATGTACCATCGGCGAAAAAATCAATACAATCATGCTTAATCATAAATAGTAGGTTGAAATCAGAAGTAATGCATACAAAACTATTGTCTTCGGGAATATGTATGAATGGTTGTCCACGAAACTTAAAATCATCTTGAGTTTTCATTAAATTCAACTGTAAAAAAATGTCTTGTGACTTAGGCAATTTGGGAAGTACTTTTCGTCGTCTATCGTACATAGCTTTACGAACCGTTTTTAAATCTTTATGAACAATTGAAGATTGTTCATTTAAAAGTTCACTTCTAATCAACTTTAAAGGTTGAGTTGATAGTGACTCTTCAGCACGTCTTTTACAATTTTCACGTAATACTTGCCTTTCTAATTTATTAGGTGAATTTCCTTTATGTTTATGTTGTCCACTTGATTTAATAACGATATTTTTATCTGGTCCAGAATAAATCATAGCTGTACAATTATTTTTTGTGCATCGCCATTTTAATAACTCGCCTTTTTTAATCGATCCAATAAATCTGTACTTAAAAGTACCAACATAGGCTAATTCTTTTCCTCTCTCGGATAAAATAACTTTTATTTCACTATTGTCCATCGCGTTCTACGTATATAAAAAAGTTATCTAAAATAAAACGGTGTAACGTACTAACGCTTAACGACGAACGACCACTAACCACTAACGCCTGATAGTATAGAGTCTAAGTTACTTATATTTTGGCAATACAAAAGCCCACTTCTATATGACTATATATTATATAGATAACAAATAATATCCAATCTTACAGTCGTACAGATAATCTTAATTGGCGTAATCGACAATGCATGATGAGTGTACCTATTTCGACGATTATGTCGATCCTAATTTCCTACACGACTCGTATATTATTTATCGATTATACTAGTGCCGCTTTCAAAAGATGGGAAACCACGATTGAAAATAATCACCATTCTATGTTAAATACCTCCCATACGACTAGTAAAGCACAAAGATTGACAAATATTCCCACCGGCTTTATATATAGGTACTAGTATTTCAAAATACGAGTGTAGCCTAGCTGGTTGTAGTCGGACAGAAAAATTGGCAACGTTGCATTCATTTGACTGTGCTCAATCGGGTTGTTAAAAAATATGGATCGTGCTCAATCGGGTTGTTTCAAAATAGGGACCGTGCTCAATCGTGTTTCACCGTTATTTCTAAGCAATATTTGATTGAATGAAAAAATCGTATTTTTTTATGGTTTAGTAACACAAATTATAAATTTAAGTAAAATGCACTTTGTAAGAAGTGTTTCTCTTTCCAAAAAAAAAAAAACTATCAAAATCGGTTTTTTACGTGGATTGACAGTTTTTTCTGTAAAAAATGTTTTTGAGAAAAAAATAGGTCGCGTGGAGGCCCGTTAAGTCGGTATACGAATACGAATTACTTTTATAATAATTATTCTATAAGTAACAGATCATTTTATAAGATTTCTGTGAAAATTAGAATTTTGGCCAACTATTTTCATTATTGAACCACTGTGCATCGGACCGTCGGACCGATAACATATCGTCCGACGTTAAACTCATCTGCCCGAGCGGCACGTCGTGTATTATTATATTTTGGTCGCAATATTATAATACATAATCTGTGACATTCTTAAAGTGTTTGTGTTGTGTTTTTTTCATCACCTCAATCCTAACCAAACACTTCGACCGGACCACGATCAATCTTGAAGCAATCATCGTGCCCCGCGTCAAATGGCTCCCCGCAGAGGAATTAGTCCGGTCAGCGAAAAGGTAAGAGTTTTTCACGTTGACACATTCCTCGGATTATTTGCTTATAACATTTGATATTGAGATATTTAACCAGGAGTGTGTTTTTTCCGGTCAGCTAGGATTTCCAATCTACCCAAGTTAGGATTACGTAATAGGTATTAACAATTAGGTATAACTCTGCTACGTAGGGGAAATCCGTGAGATCGAAAATAACCGTGATACGGAATGGGAAGCAGTTACATAACTTAATGCCACCCTTCCCGGCGCTCTCCTTTCGTCCGCGACTTTGTTGCCGATAACATCGCAATTCGCAGCGCGCAGGCCGCGACGTCATAACCAGTCGTCGTCACCGCCGCCGCCGATTCCGTGACCCAGTTTCGCTATATTTGGAACACATCGGCGGCCGTAGTGTTGTTAAAATATGGTATTTTATTTTATTTTTGTATTATACTGTATTATACCTTGTATTATACGTGTATTAAACTTTGTATAATACTATTGTATTTGAGTAGGGTATAATAATATTTTGTATTATACACATTTTATACGGTATAAAATCCTGTATTTAAATATATAATATACAATTTAAACTTGATTACTCAACCATTGTCCATTTCCTATTTGAAAATTGAGTCTTATTAATACAAATAAAATAGTAATATAAATTAATAATAATATAAATTAAATTCAAAAGTAATAACAAAGTCAACAAGTAAAGTAATAATTAACAATTTTAATAAACATAAACAACTCTTTTGGTTTTTTTCTCTAAATAATAACTAAAATAAATATTTAATGTAAAAAAAGTAACAATAGTAAATAGTAATACTTTATAGGTTATAGTAACAATTTTAACACTTATGTCTTTTAGTTTCCTGTTTAGTATAAAAAAAAAAATAATAGAAATGATAATTAATTAAATAATAATATTGAATAATTCAAAATATTTAAAAAAAGTCATGGTGTATAAAAAATTCAAAAATATAAACAACCAGTGAAAATTTCATGAATCATTTGTCATTTGTTTTAAAGTTACACCAAAAACCAAAATCGATTTTCCAATAACAGATTTTTCGTAAAAATTCCCGTTTTGCCTTAATTTTTCTTTTGTTTTTCACGTCGCTTTTGAAAACTACTGGAAAATTTTTACTTTTGACCCCCCAAAGTACCAACTAGAAGTACCAACTAGACCAACAGGGTTTTGACCTAATCAAACATTCTTTACCATAATTTTTTAAACAAATCCCCGTTATATACGAAGGAAATTAAACGAGAACAATTCTTTTTTTCAGATTAAAAGTCCTTAAAATTAACAGTTCAAAACTTTTTGAAATAAAAAATTATTTCCTAGTTAAAATGTTAGTACATTTTATTTATTATTGCATTATTTTGAATTTATTTAGCATAATAGTATATTGTGTAGTAAGTGAGCTATTTCAGTTACAAAACGAGTAGACCTCTCCAATTTCAATGAAAAAAACTATTTTTCAATTTAAAATAATTTATTGTCAAGCTCGCATCCCTAGTTATATATACCCAAAGGCTACGGCGTAGTATCTTATATTGTTGTGTGACAAAAGTGTTGCTCGTTATTGTTTTGTAACTGTGTCCAAAATGCAAACCGTGATAATTGTACAATAAGTTATTATTTATTTTTAATATTTTCAAAATAAAATGTATGGATTAAACCGGCTTATTTTTGCAAAACTATAATTCATATAATTTGCGTGCCATCTATATTTTATGTGAAAGTTAATATATTTGTAGTGGTGATGTAGTTCAGGTGTGATTTGAGGGGAGTTAATTTCTCTATTTGTACATTGTAAGTGGGTTTAGTCCTCTCAAGCAACCCACCCCACCATTTTCTGCCTACGATGTTACTGATTTAATTTAGTGTTGACAAATTTTAGATATTTTTTAAGGTACCTAATCTAGGCGAATATACGTCAACCATTCACCGTAATTCAGATGTCTATGGGTAGTATTTGGTACACAGCACAAGCACTATTTAACTATAATGTTTGAAAATGTACAATACAGTAAAACCTCAACAAGTACCGGACACTATCGGGTCGCTTACATTTTGTCCGCTATTCGGAGGTGTCCGCTATTTAATATTTACAGGCGTCCGTCAGAGGAGGTTTCACGATATATTATTATTTCAAACAATACATCAACTCGTATACTTATGTAATTTATGTAATTTATTTTATTCCCATCGCAATGATTTTAGTTTTAAAGATAATATTATTATGATCCTACACGAAAATTTAATAAAAACGTGTTCAGTGAATTTTATAAAAATGTATAGTAATAAATATATTGATATGCTAAAAATAATTTAAATATTTTGCACTTAAAACACTAAATTATATTTTTTAATTCTACTATATGTCTATACCTATATACTGTTCTTTCTCGTTTGCATTAATTGCTTTCGAATGTATTGTAAACAAGAACAATCATTTTAAGTCATAACACTGTATAAACTCTCTTGTCTCCTTCGCTATCTCAGGATTTTGGAGACGTACCCCTTTTCAAATATAATATGTCATAACTATATTGTAATAATTTGTATGCTGTATTCAAGAGTATATTGTTTTTACAGAATAAAATATATTATATTTTACTTTTTTTTGACCCAAAAATGTCAATTTTCTATATTTATTATGAGAGAAAATAGTGTAGGTATTACACTGCGATGTCAACAAACATCGTCCATAGTGACTTCAATTATTTTAATAACATCACTGTATAATACAATACATGAAGATTAGAGATAAGGAGACCAAACTCCTATCAGATCCAAAACATATATACAAGAGTAGGGGGATCTCGGTTAAAATTGGTTTCAATAATAAAAATAAAATATATATTATAATAATTAGCTATTAAACACATGGGCATGCCCGGATTAAGACATTTTGAGGCCCAGGGGCCCTTAATAAATTCTAACTATCGAAGCCCGGGGGCCATGGTCTTTTTGCTCTTATTTCAACTTTAGAAAAAATAACGTTACAGACTTTAGTATCTGAAGAATTAAATGTAAATACAATTTTTTCTATAACTTCAAACTTATGGACGGACACAGCATCTTTACCATTTGTTGGTTGTGAAGAACACAATATGGGTTTGACAAAAAGTATTGTTCACTTTTTTATTACAATGCGTAGGTATGCATTTTATTGTAAGACGTTCAAACTACAATGAAACTACAAACAAAAGGAAAAAACCAAGTGTAGTAGAAAGTTGTCAAGACTTTAATTAATGTATTATTTTTATATTTACCATATCTGTATTTTATGTTTCATTTATCATTATTAATTAGACTCATAGACCGTATAGTCATTATATAATGATGTGAATTTTAAACTTTTTTTTATAGCAAACACCTTTTGAACTTTGATTATATATTTAGGTATACTTTAACCTGACCAGGTAATAAATAATAAATCTTAATTTATATTTCATTCGAATTAAAAAAAAAATACATTTATAGAAAAGTACGTATAATAAGTGGTAAAACGTTATCGAACGACGCACTCCTGGTGGCAGAATAACCGTTCGACTTTTGTCGGGCCATATTTTGTATACGGAGTTTGGGCTCCTTATCTCTAATCTTCATGATACAATATTAAAAAAAATTTACCGAAATCGATAGAACAGCTCAATCTACATTTCGACAACTACATCGGCGCTCCTCCGAGAGTAGCACATTGGAATTATTTTTAACCACCAGAGAGCGAAACTATACTGTGTTCTAATAGAAATATTTCTCGGTGAACATTTAATATTTTTTTTTTTTTTTGAGTGCTACATAAATCAATGTTATCAAATTTT